TCCTAGGGCTGTGTCACCTGAGCGTGCTCCAGTCAGCCTGAAGGGTTCCTTTTGTAGACAGAGGTGGTGGTCACCTGAAGCCCCAAGTTGAGTGTGTTTGGGATCCCAATGTCCACTGCTCCTGGCAGTGACATGCTCAGGCTGCTGGCAGACAGGCTGGCCTGAGAAAAATCCCCCTTACTCGGTGCTGGGCCACAGGACCGATTCAAGGTCGTCCCAACTATCGCGTCTCCTGGTGCAGCCGGTGGGGAGCTGCTACTGACTGTCCTGAGAGCTCTGGGGGAGGGGAGGGCCAGCAGCACCTGGCCTGAATCACGACGGGCTGGCCACACTTTCCATGTGCTGTCTAAGGACCCTGTGTACCCCCTGTGTACTCGAAGCCCCCCACAGGCTGCAGGGGCTCCCTATCACCAGCCCTCTCTCCTCTCCTACCCCAACAACACTTCTTTGCTCAAAGCTATGTCTCAGCTGGGGCAAGGAGAGCAGAGCTGGGAAACCCAGCTTGGGACCTGTGGTCCATGTAGACCCCCTGCCCCGCCTCGGGCTGTTTTCTCATTAATGCAAGATCAGCAAAAAGAATTTCTAAGCTTATGAAAAGATGTTTCCATGGAGCAAAGTTCTTGTAGGTGGTTCTCAGTTGGGGTGGGGAAACCAAGCTTCTCCTGCCCAAGGAACTGAGAGATATGTGGGGCCAGGGACTCAGAATGACATGGGCTGGCGGGATGGCGCAAGTGGTAGAGCGCCTGCCTAGTAAGTGCGAGATCCTGTGTTCAAACCCCAGGGCTGCCAAGCAGACTAACAGCAACAACAAAAATGTCTGGCCATGCATGAGCAGTCCCCAGTGAAGGGTGGCAATGGCACCTGACGTCCACAGCACCGCTCAGAGGCTCTGTATGAGAGGAGAGGCAGACGTGGGCAAAGCTTCTCCATCCCCTAGGTCAAGGCTCCTCCCTCACCCTCATGGCCTTGTACGGTTTGTTTGTCAAGCATCCAAATCACGGGATTCCAGCTTAGGAAGTCCTGGACAGGCCCTGTCCTACGGACAGCCAGCGCCCTGGAATCCTCTGGGTACGGCAGCCCTGCCTAGAGAAGAAGGTGGTCCCAGGGACAATGACCTCCAGGGAAGAGCACAGTGGCTGGGCTCTTGGGGGGACTTGGACTCCAATGCTTGCACTGCCACCTCCTGCCCAGAGCCACCGGCGCCACCTCTGGGCTTGACCACAGAGAGGTGCATTCATTTCTGATGACCACCCAGCACAATGAGGATGGGATGGTTCAGAGTATCTCTGAACTCTGCTGTGGGGTTTGATTAAAACGCTAAATTCTGTTTATACGTTTAATTGAACAAATGTTTATTAAGCACCTACTTTGTGCCAGGCACTGTGCTAGGCACCCTCACTGCCTGCTGTTCCCGAAGCACAAGCATCTGCTCAGAAATTAAAGCCAAGAGAAGGAACCTTGTCGCAACCGTACAAACTGGGGCCCAGTGGAGGCACGTGACTCCTGTGTGCCCACCAGAGACGTGTTCTGCCTCCTGCTAAGTCTCTGGAAATGGTTGCCGTAAGACAGCCCTCACGGACTGGAGTCTGGTGGACAGCCATGTACTCTGGATGCTAGTCATAAAAGGAGCAAAATGGCCTGTTGTAAAGGCCATTGGTACTTGGACTAGAAAATACTTTTTTTTTTTCCAGTTCATAGGGTTGCAACAGCCCTTAAGAAAGATATAAACATCCCTGCCCTGACTGCATAAACGTTAAGGTAGACCTAGTTCTGGGTTCCTGAGTCAGAATCGTCCAGTTGTCCACAACCTCACAATGCCAGAGAAGCAAGAGGAGATTTCTATGCTGGAGAAGAGAGAGTGGACGGCACAACTGGTTTGGAAACATTTACAGAAGCAACGCGAACGGGAGAACGTCCTAGTCCTGTTTGGTCACACGCACTTGGGACTCACGATCCATCTGTGCCAGGTCTCCACCAGCCCTAGTTGTCTGTGCCCAGCTTGGAGAGGCCTCGGCGGAAGTCGTGGAGGTCGTCGATTTTCCCATCCAGCACTTCCAGGAAGCTCCTCAACTCCCCCTTCAGGTGGCGCTGGCGGTACTGACTCTCCTCAACATCTGTCTTCAGAGACAGCACTTTGTCTTCCAGGTTTTGATTGTCTCTCTCTGCCGCCTGACAAAACAAGCAAAGGGAAGAAGGGTTTGGAAAATGGCGATGGACCATCCACTGGAACCTGCTAGAGCTGGGCTGATCATTTGTTATCAGACCTGGGGGCCTGGGCCAGGACCCAAGACCCCTAGGGACATGAGCCTGTGACCATGATGTCAGAAGGGAGACTGCAGGCATCTCAGGATACCCTCCTATCCTGCCAGTTCTCCAGCAGGAAGACCAACAGACTGAGTGGGCAACGACACCTGGCCTGAAAACCCAAGTCCCAACCCAGAACACGGAATGCAGAGTGCTACAGAGAGCCCTTCACAAAGGGCCCGGCAGAGAAGCTGAGATCCCGGCCTGGTCATCAGAGGCCACCTTTCAGCTCTACTCTGAGACAGAAAAAGGACAAATGGGGAGTGGCTTGTTTCCCTGGTTCCACTGAGACGTCTCCTTGGCCTCAGGCCCTTGGTGAGGGAGGACTGGCCATTGCCAGTGACTACTCAGAGACAGGCCGTCTGTGCAACCTAATGCCCTCACCATCTGCAGGGCTGCACCCCCACACGCTAAATCTAGGTGCATCAGGCACACACTCCCAACGACAGGATGGCCCTGAGTCCTTACCAAAGCGTTGACACACGCTCTTCATGTCCCTTTATTTTGTGGACATAAACTGGGACTTTCTTGAACATGAGTCCAGGAACTAGTTACCAATACAGTCCTGGGGCTGTGTAACTCAATAAAGAGCAACTTGTGAATCAAGGGGCAGAAAGTGAGGAAACCCCTGGAGCTGGAGGAGAATCTGAAAATCCCATTTTATGAATCAGAAAGCTGAGGCCAGCAAAGAAGGCCTGCCCAGGGTCAGTGCCCAGTCATGGACAGAGTGGCCAATGTGGACTCACACCAGACCCCATGCTCTCAGGCCACACTTCCGCCCTCTCCTCATTATCTCTGTGGTTCTGTAGGGACGTCTGTGGGTGAGGAATAGCCGCTTACACCTTGGCTATGCACAGGACTCCCGTGTACTGGTGGAAAAAACAGAAGACCAACGCTGTTGAGTCAGCCCCTAGGGACAGAGGTGGCATGCAGATATTGCTGGCTTTTCATAAATAGAAAAGCACTCTTGACCACCCTCGCTGTGAAAGCGAGAGGGAGGTGAGAGCAGGAACACCCCCACCGCGGCCTCCATGGGCCCCTCTTACCTCTAATTTCTCAGAGACATATTCACACTCTGACATGAGCTGAGGTATGATTTCACTTTGCTTTCGGAGATCTTTCAATTCCTAATGGAGATAGGACATGAAAGTAAATCAGATCAAATGTCTTTGTGAAAATCGCCAACTTGTGCCTACACTAACGGATGCACGCTGGAAACTGCTGTTTCCATCGGTGTAATGCTGAGCCTGCTACTCTGAAGCATCCGGTGATCCCAGGGGATCTCCCCGTGTATGAGATGCACGAGCTCAGGAAGTTCATACGGCACCATAAAAAGACAAGCACCTGCGTTGTAAAGCGGAAGCTGACGCCCAGCCAGGCCTGGGAGCTTGCCCATGGTCTCCAGTGTGTGTGGACTCAGCTGCTTGGCCTCCTGGAATACAAATGACTACAAGGCTGATAGCCTGAGCTGCATTCATCCGCCAGCAGAACTCAAGTGTGATGACACGTGACAGTGTTTTGTGACGTGTTCATCTCCCTCTTGGGTCCGAGTGACTGACTATATCATAGTGCAAGGAGAGAAATGGGGCCTTTGTTCTGGAGTATCTGCACCATGCTGTGTGTGACTCCTGACTCTCTGTCCTGCTGTCCAGGCAGCTGCCAGGGCTGCTCACATGCCCTAAGCCACCTGCGTGTCCTTGGATGGAGATCACAGAGGTCACCTCACAAGGCCCAGAGGACGCAAAGAGCCCTGCTCAGAGCCCCGTTACTCACCGTCTCCTTTTCTTGGAGTTCTGACTCCAGCTCCTCAATTCTCCTCTTCAGCTGGGTGTTCTTCTCCTTCTCTCTGTTTATCTCACTGCACTGTTCTTCCAGCTCGTCAATCTACAACACGCAGTGCACATTAATGCGGGGTGCCACTTTACCTTAGTCTTTTTTGTTGTTGTTGCAGTACTGGGCTTTGAACTCAGGGCTTTGCATGTGATAGGCGGGTGCTATCATCTGAGCTACACCCCCAGCCCTTTTATGCTTTAGTTATTTTTCAGGTTGGGTCTCCATTTTGCCTGGGGCTGGCCTCTGACCACAATCCTCCTACTTATGCCTCCAATATAGCTGAGATTATAGAAATGAGTCACTGTACCCAGCCTATTTTAGTCATTAAACAAGAGACTGCCACAGCCGTTTTTATGCTTTCTTTAAAAATAAACTAACAACATTTATTAATTTTCTTTATGGCTATGAACAAGCTCCATGCAGCTCCCATGTGGCTGTTTGCCCCACTCGCAAGGGGTGCCTTCAATACCAGCAGGGCCAGTCAGTAAGAAAACCTGGCTTCAGGTTTAAGTGTAAGTTTAGGTTTGCTTTAAGGGTCTGTCACAGGCCAGATATCCCCCAAGTTGATCCTTATATCATTTTAATCATGTCTTGAATTACTGTTTAAGCCAGCAGGGTAGAGAACCTAGCCTCTCTGTGGGACAGGGGCCACCAAGCGGGAAGCAATGACATTTCAAACAATGTGTGAAGAGGCCCCTCCCCTGCTGGCGCACACACAAGGGGCCTGGCCAGAGGGCCTCTTCTTTGAAACTGAAAGGCAAATCCCAGGACTGCAGCTTTCCCCCCTTCCCAGGCCTGACCCCTGAACAGGGCCACCCATGTGGAATGAGGGCAGGGGCCTGATGCCCCGGTGCTCTATGGGATGCTGAGCACTTCACGGAGACCATCACGGGTGTGCAGAGTGGACAGCAGCAGCGGAACCCAAGGCAGCGACGTGACAGGTACGGCAGTGACAGTCCTTGATGTGAGGGGCACAGTGGTCACCACAAGCACTTCTCAGAGGCAGCCCACACCAGCCCTCAGGGTCTGAGCCCCCAGCCCCAGCTGCCCCTCGAGACCTCTCCAACTCCACCTTCAGCCTGGGCATCAACCTCTCAACACGCCCCACCCGAGAAGTCCCCAGCCCTCCAAGAGGGCAGCTTCTGGATGACGTTCTTCCTCCACTCCCCGACGCTGCCTTTGGTTTTCATACTCAGACTAGAGTGAGAAACTCAGCCCTTTGCTTGAAAAAAAGAAAGGACAGTCGATTCCTCTGGCAGGCAGATCCGCCAGGCCCCCGACAGGAACGGGCACAGACAGCAACTGGCCTGGAGCCCTGACAATCAGCACTTTCAGCACGGAGATGACAAGTGACATGCGGCTGCCCTGGGCGCCATCAGCACCTAAGGAAGGTGGTCACACGGAGGGCTGGTCTACAGCAGCGCTGTCCAGGCCGGGACACCAGCCTAAATGCAATGTGTCCCCAGATCCTCACACTTACAGAATAGCTTCCAAAGCCCTGTGTGCTCGCGCCCAGGGTTAGCAAGCTCACCCTTACAACATGGTGGCCACAGAAACCTCAGGACCTCAACAGGGAACTCTAATTCAGGGAAGGTTACAGGTGAATTGTGAACTCAACTAAATGCTAGGACATCCAAATGGGAAAGGAGGGCATCTCGCCATGGTCGGCACCCACGTTCCTCTTGCTTAAAGCAGTGTACTCCTTCTCTCACTTCCAGATTTGCATTTTTGGAAACAATGATTTGGAGCCAGGCACCGGTGGCTATACCTGCAATCCCAACTACTCAGGAGGCAGAGATCAGGAGGATCACTGTTCGAGGCCAGCCCAGGCAAATAGTTCTTGAGACTCTATCTTGAAAAAACCCATCACAAAAAGGGCTGGTGAAGTGGCTCAAGGTGTAGACCTTGAGTTCAAACCTGAGTACCATAAAAAAAGGAAAGGGAGGGAGAGAGGGACAGAGGGAAGAAGGGAGGGAGGAAAGAAAGACTGATTTGGATGGAAACAGACTTCCGAGAAAATGCTCCTCGCTGTTTCCTGGATCTATTTTCTAACTAATCCTCTGAATCCCTGTCCTCCACTAAAGATGGATGAGCCACAGGAAGGCCACCCACAGCAGAAGGCAGCCCGTGAGGAGCACAGGAGTCCTGAGAGGGGCAAGGCGACATCATTCAGCTTCTCCTCGGCCACAGGGGTTGAGAAGCTTGGTTGGGTAAAAGTAATAAACCAGGGATTTCCATGGTCAAATCCACTAAGAAAGGCAGGACGATGGAGGTCATTCGGGGGGGAGGCAGCAAGTCTTTCTCCTGACCTCAGTGACGAGGGCAGAGTGACAGGGAGGCAGGGGACACAGGCAGCACCCTGGCCTCCCTCCGTGGCCCACCTTGCTGCGGAGCCTGTCGTTCTCATCTCTGCAGATGGAGAACTGCCTCTTCCACTGCTCCACGCTGGCCGTGGACTCCTGCAGCGCCGAGGTCAGCCGGGCGTTACTCTCCCGCAGTGCCTGCAGCTCAATCTCCCACTTCTTCACGTTGGCTGCGCTGAGGGCAGGAGACAGATGGGACAGAGATGGGGGCACCAGCCATTGCACTGGTGCACCTCCATGGATGGAGAAAGGACCCCTCAGCCCACCCCAAGGGGAGCCCACCCTGTCATCCTCCAGTGACCAGCAGCCAAGAGGGATGGGCAGCTCTCTAGTGTGACCATGTCACCTTGCTGGGCTATTTGATTAGAATGGCCTTAAAAGAGAACAGAGTTGTTAAGGAGATAAAGCTTCTAAGAAGGAAGACTGTGGAGTGTGCGAAGACCCCTTCCCCTATTTTCCTGCACACCCCTGCTGAAAATTCTCTCATATATTCCTTCCTGGAATGAGCCTCAAGATAGAGTCTCTGAATTTCTGGGGTGACAATGGGACCCTTTGTGTCCCATGAGAGCCATGACACGAGGACCCCAGGTTTGAACAAGCACAATGCAAAACGGCCTGGTTCCAAAGGACCAATGGCCCTACAGTAACTTGTACCTCCTCAAAGTCCTCTAAGGAATCCAGATTTGAGAGTCAAAGGCTTGGGGACAGAGGAGCCCATGACTGGGAGTCAGTCCTGTGAGCAGGTCTTGGATCCTAACTTCAGCATGTGGGAGCCAGCCAGAGGCTGGGCTTTAACCCAGAGGCTTACAGAAGAGGAAGCTGTGGCTCTAGGACCTTGGCTGAGCCCTGGTGACCTCAGGGGTGTGAGGAGACCCTGCCTGGCTAGGATATTCCTGCTGCAAGAAACTGCACCTGGAGCCTTGGGTGGAGGCAGGCAGTATGGGGTAAGGGGAGGAGTGCTTTTTTATTGCATGGGGGGGGAATGGGGTTTGAACTCATGGCTTTGCGCTTGTGAAGCAGGCACTGTACCGCTTCAGTCACACCTCCAGCCCATTTTGCTCTGGCTGTTTTGGAGATGGTGTCTTGTGAGGTATTTGCCTGGGCTGGCCTCAAATTATGATCCTCCAGATCTCTGCCTCCCAAGTAGCTAGGATTACAGGTGTGAGACACTGGTCCCTGGCAGATGTGCTGTACTTTTAGTCATGTGACCTCAGGCAGGGAGACACCTTGCTAGCTGGGACTCAGTTTCCTCATCTGTACAATGGTGGAATTCAGACAGGATGGCTCCTGAGAAGATACAGCGACTAAAAGGCAAGTTTGAGGAGGACAGAGGAGGTTGGGGGAGCAGGCCACTGAGCCAGTGAGCAGGATGACTCTGAATGCACTGTGTACTGTGGGCCCTCAAGACAGCTTGTGTTAGTTAAAATTTCAATCTTCTTGATATCAGTATGGGATCTTGTAGGATGTTCATATCTACTTATGGGACCCTGCTACTGTACAGCCCCAGCTCCTCACCACATCCCAAGAGAAGGCTGTTGGGAAGTGATGGAGGCACCCCCTGCTCTGATCGGGTCACTACACACTGTGCACCATCAATCCGCACAGCTTGTGCTAACTAAAACTAAAAATCTATTTTAAAAGGTAAAAATAAATCCACATCCTTTATGAGCCTCAAAATCATTAAGGTTGCCTCATGTAGATCTCGGGCATTTCTTGTCAAGTTTATTCCTGTGTGTTTCGGGGTTCCAGGTCATATTATAAAGGAAAGCTCTTCTCCAGATTCATAGCCTCTGTGATGCTTTTTGGTTTATCAGTACATTCTTGATTTTTGTGTGATCTTATATTGTTTTTCAGAGTTTCTTAGGTTTTTACATGCTTTTCCTGGATGTTTAAGACTCAGTCTTATCATATGTAAATATAAATGTGTCTGCTCAAATATAAATGTGTCTGCTCAAAAACCATGATCACAGGCACCTGTCACACACACTCACTCACACACACTGGCTGACACTGGTGTCACTGGCCGAGAAGGGCTGGGAAGCCAGGTGGCCTTCCGTGACCAGGGGACAACACAGGGTGGTCTGAGCAGACCCAGCCTCCTCTCTCACTGCTTTGAAATCCTTCAGGTTTCAGCAGCAGTAGCCTCTGGAAGTACTGACCATGGAGGACACAGGAGCTGAATGGTAAACCGGCCTCACCTCTGTGTCAAAGCAATCTTCAGCTTGTCGTTCTCCGACTTGAGGTGTGTGTCTGGACCTGCGTGAGAGGCCTTTTCGTCGTCTGTCCCATTGACGCTGGACGCCTGAGTAGAAGATGGAGTTTCACACCCAGAGTCCTGGCCAAAGTGAATCTCCACGCGTTACTACCTGTCCCCACTCTGGCAGCAATTAGGCATAATGAGGAACTGTGCGTTTACGAGTGTGACAAACCAGCTCATCCAGCTAGAATGCAGCAAAGACACAAGAAGCTAAGACTACCGACTACAGGGGAGAGGCCCTGAAGCCCACTGGTGCCCATGAAGTCACGAACTTCTCGGACAGGAGAGCACCTGGGGCCACTGCTCAGAGTCTTTTTACTCAAACCTTATAGATAAATCTGTCCTCCCAGAATATCTGATCCCACAAACACCACAGAGGCTACAAACAACAAAGAGATTATATAAACAAGGAGAACTAATGGCAAATGAGGCTAGAGAAAAAGAATCAGAAGCTAAGACAACTTAAAATCCCAGGGCAGGGAGTTAGATCAGCACACTCATTACAGAAGCAGGAAGAACCCCCTTTCTGCTTAGCATCCTTGGGAATGTCCTCGAGTGGCTTCTGAAATAAGCCACACCACAAGCCTAGTCTCGGGTAGGATCCTAGAAGCTCTCACTTGGTCTCCAGTAAGCATAAAGACATCGATGTATAAATTTGACTTTAAATTTCCTGCACTGCAAAAAACAATGCTATAAGCAAAATTAAAATGCAAACAAAAACCTGGAGGAAATATTTGCAGCAGATATTAGCAATGAAATGTAATACCTTTTCTGTATTGGAAACTCTTAGGGGTTCTCATCTCTTTAGAGTTGCATACTGAAATAGTCACAGATGAAACAAGACTGCTGTGATTTACTTTAAAACCTGACGAGCGCGAGAAATGAGGACACAGATAAAACAATGCATTTTATCTTAATTGTTTAAGCCAAACTCTGAGTACCTGGAGGCTCTTGATACAATTCTGCCTACTTTAGTATATGTTCAAAATTATTCATGTTAAATTTACATATACATATTAAATTTACACATACATATCATGTTACATATGTTTGTGTAAAGCTCTCAGGAATCAATATGTGAACACCTTCACTTTTTTAAAAAAAGGAAGAAGACTACTGGTAATTACACACTTACAATCCCACAACGTGGGAGGTGGAGATTGGGAGGATAGCGGCTCGAGGCCAGCTCAGGCAAAAAGTGAGACCCTCATCTCGACCAACAGGCCAGGCATGGTGGTATGCATCTGGAATCCCAGCTAGGTGGATGACTTAGGTAGGAGGATAAGCAGTCCGAGATTGGCATTGAGCAAAAACACAAGACGCTATTTGAAACATAACTAAAGCAAAAAAGGCAGAAACGGGCTGGAGGCATGGCTGAAGTAGAAGAGTGCCTGCCAGCTTCAGGGCTGTATCACCAAAAAAGAAAAGAAATGCCTATCATCAACGAACATAAAATAATGTCACTAGAAAAGAAATACAAAATGAAGAATGCCAACGACACACGTTTTCATCTGTCAAGTCACAAAGCTTTCTTGGTGAGGGTGTGGGAAGGGGAGCCTTGCTCACTGCTGGCAGGAGTTGGAAGTAGACATTGCTTCTAATGCCTTTGACCCGGACTTCCTTTCAAGACTTTATCCTGCAGAGCAACGAAACGCACAAAGATGGGCAAGAATGGATCACAGGCTTCACGATAATGAAAAAAAACAGAAGTCCCAAATGATAAGGGGTTAGTAGAGTAAGTCATGATACAAACACACACTGGAATATTACTTGGCTGTTAAAACAGTTTTGTAAAGGAATATTTGAAAACACAATGAAATGATCACGACTTTGAAAAGGTGTTTTTTTTTTTTTTTTTTGGTGGGACTGGGGTTTGAACTCAGAACTTTGAACTCACAAAGCAGGTGCTCTATCATTTGAACACACCTCCAGTCCATTCTGCTCTGGTTATTTTGGATATGGGGTCTCTTGAACTGTTTGCCCAGGCTGGCCTTGAACTACAGTCCTCTTGATCGCAGCCTTTCAAATAGCCAGGATTACAGGCATGAACCACCTGTGCCCAGCTCATGACTTTAAAAAGTTTAAAAAATGTTTAAAAAGAGTAATAGAAAAAAATATACTGGAAAGCTATATTAAAAAGATACAAAATACTACCAAAGTATTTTGCGGGATGGGGGGGTAACTGGGATTTGAACTCAGGGCCTCACACTTGCTAGGCAGGTGCTCTACCTGCACTACCACTTGAGCCATTCCTCAAGCCCCCCAAATATCTTTAAGTGATGAGAGAGCAGGTGATTTTGTTTTTCTGCAGTGCTGGGGATTGAACCCAGGGCCTTGTGCATTTTAGACATAGAAATACACTCCTGTCCCCAGAACAGGTGATTTTTGGTGTTTTCTTTATGGTACAGCATATATTCTATTTCTGTAATCAGCAAGCATTGCTTTTAGAGCTACAGAAAAACCCATATTTTGTATTTTTGTAATTAGATTGTTTAAATCTTCAGCTATTGTCTGAGTGTTCTTTCTCTAAGAGAGTCAGGAAAACACCAAGTGACTGCTAAGAAAAGAAGCAAAGGAAAATGTACAGTGATTTCTGTATCTGGAAAAATGGCAGAAGACAAAGCCCACCTCTGCCCAACTAACCTAACACACAGAATGACATCTTATCGGGTGTACTTATATTTTAAAGTTTAAAGCACTTTGGCACGAAGTATTAAAACCTTACATAGAGAACTGTAGTTTAAAGAAGCCACCATGATGCCATACTTCCATTTCCATGCTGTGTCCTGCAGAGACGGCCCAGAGATCACTCTGTGATCAGTATGCTAAGTTAATAGCATTGCTTAGATGGAAGATTATTTAGAAAGATTCAGGAGAGCTCCTGCCCACCTGAAGTCTAGTGCACAATCATTTCCATAAATCCACAGGGGCGTCTTTCATACGGAGTGCTCAGGACAAGGTGTGGGAATGCAAATGTCACCCAGTCTCCTGACAAAGCCAGGGTCCCCGGGGGCAGCATTCTCCCCTCTGTGAGTACTGTGCCCAGCGTGTATGGCCTTGGCTTTGGTCTCACTGGAGTTTCTCCTTCTCTGCCGGCTTCCTTCCCTGGGCTCTAGCTTTTGCTCTCTTCACAGTTTCCTGATGCACCTAAAGCTTCAGCTACTGATTCTGTGAGGCTCACGGTCAAGTCTAGAGTGTTGAGCTTGACCACTCCAGATGCCCAGGCTTCCTGGCTCTCTTCCCTGAGCTGTCCCTTCCAGGCCTAGCCACTCCCCTCACAGCCTCCTCCACAATCTCCCTGCCCTCTGTCACCCCCTCACTGCCTTACCACCTGCACTTGGCCTCCATGTCAACTCCAGATCAACAGACATACAACACCAACAGTGTCCACCACCTACCCAGGAGAAAGTAATTAAACAAATAGCTAATATATAATAAATTACCCACTAATGACGAATTCCAGGCCTTTCACAGTATCTCAGAGTGCATCTCCACACTTCTTGCAGCCCTCCTTGCCCAACCAGGCAGACTCCTGGCTGTCTTGCTAGTCCATCCTGCCTCTTCCTAACCCCAGCTCTTTACTCCTAAAGCCTCCCTCTCCCTGTCAAGCCTGTCACCACCACCCCCACCAACGTGGACATCAGGAGTGTTGGTACTTTCGTCTCCGGTTACAATGGGTCCTTTTTAGTCAACAATCACACCTTTGTGCAGGAGCACTACTCAAGTTCTTGGAGAACCAGGTCTCCCCTGGCTAGGACGGAGTTGTGGGAATGCATCTCTACCTGCCCTGTTGACAGGGGAGAGACTGGGGCTTTCTCTAATGGGCACGGGTGGCTACATCCACTGGAGAGCATCTCGCATAAAGGCCTCACCTCCCAGCACCGCAAAGACACAAGCTGCCACTGACAATTAAACACCATGACCCCAGAACAATTCTGGCTCTCAGGCTGGGGACAGACATTAACTCTAGTGTCATAACTGTTTTCTGTCAAAAACACAGTACCTCTCTTGAGAAATTTGAGTCCCCTAAGGGCATGTCATGTCTACCTCAGGTGAGCAGAACAGTAGTTGGAACAGCTTCCAAATATTCTGCTGCCAGAGTTCCCTAGTTCTTCCCAAGAGGGACAAGGAAGGAGGAGTCCCAGTCACTGGTCACACTGACACTTATTTCAGGGACAAATCACTTACTTGGGAGTGATTACTTGAGGTCTCGATTTTCTCCTGGGACTTGTCTCTGGCCAGCCTGGCAGCTTCCTTTACCTCCTGGAATTTCTCTGCAAACTGAACATGAAGGAGAGTGACTAACGTTTTATTAATCTCATTCCCCGCTGAGAGCCAGCACGATCCAGAATCCGTCTTCATTATTTTTTGTGTGTGCATTTAAGCCAATGCATTCTGCATGAATCCGGAAGAATTTTATTTGACACTTAAGACAAATAGAAGGAATACTTGTTTCCAGTAAACACTAGTGGGCGAGGTCAGACAGGGACCGGTTTCAAAGCTAGTGATGCGAGTCTGACGATGAAGTATTAAAAGCAAACAATGAAAGAAGTACAGCTTTGCCACCGAGGAAATCCATGGAAGATGCATGAACCCAACAGAGAAGATGGAAGAACTCTTTTTTGGTTATACTGAGATTTGAACTCAGGGCCTTTGGCTCACTAAGCAGGAACTCTACAACTCAAGAAACATACCTCAGCCCCTTTTGTTTTTGTTATTTTTCAGGTTGGGTTTTGAATTTTTGCCTGGGGTCTGCCTCAGATGGAGAACCTCCTACCTATAGCCTCTGCATAGGTCGGATCACAGGCACAAACTACCATGCCTGGCTTATTGGTTGAGGTGGGGTCTAACTTTTTGCTTGGGCTGGCCTCAAACCTGAACCCTCCCGAACTCTGCCTCCCAAGTAGCTGAGATTAAAGGCATGCACCACTATGCCCAGCCAAGATCCAAAAACTCTTATGAATTGATGTCATGAAAAAGAAAAACAACCAAAAAATGTAGGGGAAGGGACAGTTCTGTTTAAAAGCTTATGATACAAAACAGTAAAATGTAGCAGGTAGCCTATGGGTTGAATCCTTAACCACCATGTAATTTACTTTTAAGTTCTTCAACAACAACAGAGATGAAGAAGCACGGCCACCGCAGTCACTGACTGTCTGGGATAGGGAATCCTTCTGCTACGAGGCAAGGGGGCTGCTGAGAACCAAAGCAGCACGCTGCAAGGCTGCAGTCGGTTCCGATTCCAAGGGGTTTGCTGAGGACTGTTTCTGTGTGATAACAGGTGTTGGAAAACCCTGACAGACAACAGATGCAGTGAGCCAGCACCCCGGTCTAAGCAGAAAAGGTCAGCCTTTCTGTTTCCCAGTCTGTGTGGCTGCTGCAGGCACTGTTAACAAAGTCACAGCGACTCCAAGGCTGTCAGAGAAAAATCACATTCCCTGTGGCTTGAGACACAGAAGGCTGACCAGGGACAGGGAAAGCTCAACTTCCTCTTTTTTGGGGACCAATTCAGTAAAAACTTCATGTCTTGAGCACCCCGATGGCAGTCCCTCTTCTTATCCCACCTTCCTCCCACACCTGGCAGGAAGCACAGATACAGTTATTCAGTGAATTGATGAGCTTGGGTTGGCTTGCTGGCTGCCCACACAGAAGGGAACAACCCTGACAAAGACCTTGATCCTGTCCTCAAAGGAACTCTTAAGTCTGTGGGGGATTCTGTTAACATTCAGACGTGATTGGTGATTGAATTAAAAAGAACATTTCAGAAAGTAGGCTTAAAATGTAACAAGAGCGGAAAAGCCCTACCAGACACATCTTAAATAATTCTTTTAAAAAGAAGTGCTATTCACAGACACAAGAGGGAACAACAGGAGAATGGAGCCCCACCAGTTAAGACAAAAATTAGATCATTCCACGTGCAGTTGAGATAACTTTTAGTAAACTGGGGGAAACTAGTAGCATGATAAATTACTGTTGAGTTAATGAGGTAAGTAGGAAAATAAAGTCAAACCTTACAAAATCTGGATACAAACAAACTGGATATTTATGAAACTTCTGCTTGGGGGCTGGGAAGATAATTTTCTAAACTTGGAGAAATTGAAGGAAATAAGAAAGTGACAGGCTTCACTATATAACAATATAAAGGGTTTGCATAGAAAAGGAGGAAAAGAAAAACAACCCACTAACTCAGAAGGGAAAAAAAAAATAGCCTAGGGAAAATATCCACAGTTAGGCTAGGACAGCAGAGAAAAAAGGTTATTATCTTTTTACAGAGTTTGTACAAGATGAAAAGGAAAATATGAAAACACCAAAAGATAAATGGCCAAATTCTTGAATAAAAAAACAACAATAAGTAAAGAACTTGTAGGAAAGATTGTTCAGCCTTCCTGGAAATGCAAATCAAAATCAGGAGGTAGCATTCTTTATCTGCTAAACGAGCAAATGCTAAATGCAATTATGAACCCCGGTGCCGCCAAGATTGCTCTGGTAGCACTGTGTTTTGGTGCAGCCCCACTGAGAGGCAGTTTGGAAATAAGTATCACAGGTGAGAAAAACATTCATACCTACTGACTCAGTGACCTTACTATGGGAAACTATTCTGTGTAAATAACTGAGAATATGAGAAAAAAAAGAAAAAGTCCTCAATATAATGATCGTAATCTAGCATTATCTACAATAAAGAAAAACTGGAAGCAATCCAGAGAGCCGTGAGGAAGATGGGACACACTTCCCTTCATCAACTCTCAGAACAGCACCAAGCGATTATCTTTTGTGCAAAACATCCTCCGGGTCTGACATGTTCTAATATTTCTCCCTGATTATAAAAAAAAAAAACAGATACACACGCCTGTAAATTTGGAAAATGTAGTTTAGAGATAAATATTTTTTAAAACCTATGGCATCATTACCCAGAGATAACCACTAACTACATACTTGGGGCTTCATTCTATCGTGTATATGCACTCAGCACGCATATTTCTTTTTAAACATGGAATGAGCCGGGTGCCAGAGGCTCACACCTATAATCCTAGCCATCTGGGGAGGCTGAGATCAGGAGGATCAAAGTTCAAGGCCAGCCTGGCCAAACAGTTCACTGACTCTCGTCTCTAAAATAACCAGAGCAAAATGGACTGAGTACAAAGCCCTGAGTTCAAACCCCAGTTCCCACAAACAACAAAACAAGCAAACAAAAAAATCCCACAAAAAACCCAGAATGCTGGTGCACATGTTATTTTAGACTTTTGACTTTCAAGCAATTATGTGATCTATTCCGTTGTCTTAACTGCTGAACAAATTTAGATTCTTTCTCCTTCTTTCCTTTCCTCCCCTCTTTACTCCTTCCGTCCCTCCCTCTCCTCCCTCTTTTTGTTGTCATATATAAACAATGCTGCAAGGAAAATCCTTATAGTTAAATCTTTGTACCTAGTTATAACCATTTCCTTAGGTGTTTTCCTGTAAATAGAACCCACAGATCAAAGGGTATTCAAACCACAGAGGATTCTGAAGTACACTGCCAAGTTCTTGTGCTTTTATTAAGGTTGTTTTCTGCTGTAGTGATAATTGTTTTTCCCAGAATGCCATCATCATCATCACCACCACAGAAATGCAAGATTATTACTGCTTGATTTTATGTGCAGCTTGTTTGGCCCCTGACAAACGAAGACCTGTGGCAGACACTCCTGTTTGTTTATTTAAAATCCATTCTTTCTTTTTACTTTTACTTTTTACTTAGCTTAACACAATCTCACATTTGTCTATTTGTCTACTGATTTATTTATGTTTATTTATTTAATAAGGGTGAGCTAGTGGCCCAGGGCTGATAATGGGACCTAAGAAGAAGTCTGCCATAGAACAGTTTCCAAGGAAAGTATTGGGTACCACCATTCTGCCTCCTCACTCTTGCTGTGAATGCAGATGGGATGAATATACTTTCACAGCCATTTGATCACCATGAGGGAAAGGAAGAAAAAAAGCAAAACAAAGAAAAACCACTTAGAACTCTTGAGACCCAACATTATGGAGCCAGTGATACTGGCCCCCACCTCAGGACTTCTTTTTTTGCAAGAGAAGAATAAATCCATTTTAAAAAGTACTCTGTGGGCTGCTGGAGTGGCTCAATCAGTAAGAGCACCTGCCTAGCAAGCATGAGGCCCTGAGTTCAAACCCCAGTGCCACCAAAAAACCAACCAACCAACAAACAAAAAACACTAAAAAGTACTCTGTGATTAGGTTTCCTGTTACTTACAGGCAAAAGCATTCTACCCAAAACATATCAAAAGAATGATTAAGATCTGCCACTTTAAAACTTGGCCCTTTAGTCAGGTGACAGGAAGGTAAGAGCCATGTACTTACAACTACACGGAGCTGCTGAAGTGAACAGGGGGGAACAAGGGTGGGTTACAGAAAGTCACTGGAAGGGGTCCAGAGCAAATACCACCACGTGTACTCAGGGTTGAGGCAGCTCAATCATGGTGGATCCGGGATCCCTCCTGGATGGTTCCCTCTTAGTGGCACAAAGTGCTTCCCTCTGTTGGTGATGAATGAGGTGAAGCCAAACTTAGAACACTGACAACTTGAACTAGCTGCCAGAAAGACCTTAAACTTCAACAGCCAGCTCATTTGGTTCCCTTCCCATGAGCTCTTCCTGCCATCACAGCTGGAGGTTCCTGCCCACCATTTTCAGTGGGCTGAGGCACCCTGCCTTCCCCAGTGGGTGGGCAGACAAGCCCAAGTCCCAGTTTACTTCTGGGAACACTCAGCTCCTACTATTTTTGGAAAACCTATGTAAAGAGCAGAATGATTCCTGCAGTGCCTTCTGGCTGTGGTTGTGGAGTGGTCCTTTTTTTATAATGAAAGCTGTTGAGAGCAAGGTATCTATTTTCCTTCTGGAGGTTAGACAAAGAAGTATGCATAAAGTGTTCTTAAGTGAAAATGCCCACACTGGTGTTCCTCTCTCCAGCCTGGAGTGCTGATTACTGATTCCCTCTACAGGCCTGTGGGTGGCTGCGCTGGGATCAGGAATACTCAGCCACAGCTGTCCCTCAGCACACTCCTTGGAGCCTTCAGGCCGGGGTTCCCTCTGTGCTAGCTAATCGCTACTTGTTGAGACTGCCCGGCCTCAATTCATGGTAATTTATCAGTGTGTGGCTAATCGTTCCCTTCAAAGAGAAGGGGAAAGTTGATTTGAAATATTTTGGACAAAGGAGACATCCGAGAGCTTATTTGAGAAGTATCTGTGAATGGCAGGTCACAGTTGCAGAGCGGAGACTCAGGAAGATGGA